TCTGGATTCCTTCTTCTTAAGTTGTGCTGTGACTTCCTGAGAGCACTTCCTCTGTTCCTTGTAGGCAGGGTCCATGTCACTTTCATTCAGTTCTGTGTCTGCCACATAGCACTGTGTTTCCCACTGAGAAGGACCCAACACGTCTGTTAAACTACAGCAGCTGAAGCTTGATAGCAAGGATAACAAGAAACCTGAATGGGTCAGGGAGGTAGGACAGGAGGGAAGGTGCTTGCCTTGTGTGTGGCTGATGCATGCTTGATCCCCAGCATCTCAACGGGTCCCCTGAGCCCTGAGCAAAGCTGGGTAAGGCACAGAAGAAAGAGAAAGAAAGAAAGAAAGAAAGAAAGAAAGAAAGAAAGAAAGAGAAGTAGGCAAGCAAAGAAAAAGAGAAAGAAGAAAGGAAGGAGAAAGAAGGAAGGAGCGAGTAGGGAGGGAGGGAAGAAAGGGAGAAAAAAGAAGGAATAAGGGGGCTGGAGCAATAGCACAGCAGGTAGGGCGTTTGCCTTACATGCGGCCGACCTGGGTTCGATTTCCAGCATCCCATATGGTCCCCCGAGCAACATAAGGAGTAATTCCTGAGTGCAGAACCAGGAGGAACCCCTATGACCCAAAAAGAAAAAAAAAGGAATGAGGAAGAAAGAAGGAAAGAAACGCTGGGGAGATAATACAGCAGGTAGGGTGCTTACTTTGCATGAGATTAATCCTGGTATGACCAATATCTGGCACCCCCACTTGGTCCCCCAAGCCCACCAGGAGTGATTGATCCCCAAGTCCAGAAAGAGTCAGGAAGAATCCCTGAGCATTGCCGGGTGTGGCCCCCAAACAAAAATAAACCAAAAGAGAAAAAGAAAAATGTGTTTAATGACCCTGTAGTTAGATGTGAGTCAAAGTTGCTGGTGCATGAAAGTTGTCGGGTAGTGTCCATAGGAATAAATACGCCTTCCTGGGGTTAATGAACATTCTGTGATGAGTTAATGACCGTTGTGTGGGCCACACACTCAAACCAACAGCATTAAGGTTATGCTGGCTTAGATGCCTAAGAGTTCATCTTAGGAGTCCAACTTTGGAAAATGCAGGCATGGATTGCAAAGGAAAAAATGAAAGGTGGAATATAAGGTCACTGGAATCAAAACGGGGATTAGAAACAGAATGAGAAGGGCCAGAGAGATAGCTCTCAGGCTGAGTACATGCTTTGCATGTAAGAGGCCTGGGTTTGACTTCAGGTCCTGAAGGATCCCCTAAACACTGTCAAGAGCAAACCCTGAGGGGCTAGAGCGATAGCACAGCAGGTAGGGCGTTTGCCTTGCACACAGCCAACCTAGGTTCGATTCCCAGCATCCCATATTGTCCCCTGAGCACCGCCAGGAGTAATTCCTGAGTGCAGAGCCAGGAATAACCCCTGAGCATTGCTGGGTGACCCAAAAAGCAAAAAGACCACACCCTGAGGGACTGGAGTGATAGCATAGCAGGTAGGGAGTTTGCCTTGCATGCGGTTGACCTGGGTTCGCTTCCCAGCATCCCATATAGTCCCCTGAGCACCATCAGGAGTAATTTCTGAGTGCAGAGCCAGGAGTAACCCCTGTGCATCGCCAGGTATAACCCACTGTAGCACTGTAGCACTGTTCTCCCGTTGTTCATTGATTTGCTTGAGCGGGCACCAGTATCATCTCACAACAAATTGTTGTTATTATTTTTGGCATATCAAATACGCCACCGGTAGCTTGCCAGGCTCTGCCGTGGGGGCGAGATACTCTCGGTAGCTGCCAGGCTCTCCGAAAGGGGCCAGGTATAACCCAAAAGAGAGAGAAAAAAAATAAAGAGCAAACCCTGAGCACAAAGCACTCACTTCTCTAGCATCACCAGATACGGCCCAAAATAAACCAAACCCAGGGCTGGAGAGATAGCACAGCGGATAGGGCGTTTGCCTTGCAGGCGGCTGACCCGGGTTCAATTCCCAGCATCCCATATGGTTCCCCAAGCACCGCCAGGAGTGATTCCTGAGTGCAGAGCCAGGAGGAACACCTGTGCATCGCCGAGTGTGACCCAAAAAGCAAAAATAAAAAGGTAAAAGGAGACAGAAAGAAGAGGACCCCAAGTTCTGGGCTTCAAGGCCTCGAATCCTCACTTAGGCCTTCATGAGCCGTTTCTCTATTAGGCAAATAGGCAAAGGGGGATAACCCAGGAAGCTGTAGAGAGGAATTCACTTATGAATGAGAAGGAACCGGAGATGAAGCCCTTCCACATGATCGTGAGGTAATTTCTTAGGATGCCAGGCTAGAAGGCAGTTTCCAGGGTCGCCAGCCTCCTTTCCTGCTTCTCAGCTGGCCTCTTTTTTTTTTTTTGCCACCTTCAGAAAATGTGTAAGAAGTACGTACAGCTTTCCCATGCAACTGGTGGGAAATATTCTCAGTTGGGCTTGGGAGTAAGAGAACTCTAGGAATACACAGGCAAGTCTCTGCAGGACCTCTGCAAGGGTTCCCTGGAAATGAGCAAACACAGGCTGGCATCGGTTACTCTCTCTGGTTCCAGAGCCCGAGACTGACCCCCAAGGACTGTGTGTGGGTAGGGGGGTGGCCTTCAGCCTTCTTCATCTTCCTTCCAGGTCATCCCAAGTCTCACTTCCAGCTTTTTCCTCCTGAAGAGAAGCCCCGGGGAGGAAGGGTCTGTGCACAGGCAGGAGATCTCGGTCTCCCGCTTCCTAGATCTTTTGTCCCCTCGAGGTCCCCATGGACTCCAAGGGCCAAAACTCTGCTTCTCAAGGCGCTCCCTGGGGCCTAAGGGGCAGGATTCCCATTCTCTGCCGCTCCATCTCCCTGGAATTTTCCACTGCAGCTGCCTCCGCTCCCAGACACCCCTCCCTGGGCAAAATTCCCGGCTCCCTCCGCCTCGCCTTCCCCAATCACACCTCATTCCCACCCCCGGCCCCGAGGCCCAGCCCACAGTCCGGCCCACACCCCACTCGGAGCCCGGTGGTCCCTCGTGAGGGTCCTGCGAGGCCAGGCCCCGACCGACCGGTGACAGGGAGGGTCCCCGACACCGGCCAGGGCCGGGAGAAAGGACACTGGAGGGGCCGGTCCCCCGTGGGGCTGGGGTGGGGGGAGTGGCCCTCCTCAAATCCCCATATAAGGCAGGGCAAGCGGTTCGGTTCCGGGATTGGCTGATTCAAATGAGCATTCCACCTGGCAACAGGATTCCTATTGGCTCCCGGGGAAAAATAGGAGGAAGGTGGATGGAGGTTGTCGGCGGCGGTGATTGGAGGGGGGAGGGGAGTGGAGGTGACCGGAGTAGGGGGCGGTTACCAGGGCAACAGGGTAAGAGCCCAGCAGGGTGTCCGAGACAACAGGCGGGGCCCGGGAGGTGGAGAGGAGGGAAGAGGAAAAGGAGGGTGGGAGGGAGAGGAAAGAGACGGTCGCGAGGGAGCGAGACAGCGAGACTCTGCGGGGCGGGGGGGGGGGGGGGGAGGGCGGAGGGGGCGAGACGCGAGGCCCGAGAGTAGCCGGGATGGGGCCGGTCGGGGAGCGCCGAGGACCGGGGAGGGCGTCGGAGCAGAACGAGGGCGCGCGGCGGGGCTGGCAGGGACAGATGGACGGGGCCGCCCTGGGTGGGGCCGCGAGGGCTTGGACCAGCACGGGAGATTGGGGTGGGGGGGGGACGTGCGCACCCGGGACCCCAACCCTGGTGCCTTCAAGCCCTCCCATCCCGACCGACGAGAGAGCAGTGCCCGCCTCTCGGAAGAAAAACACTCAAAAACGAGAAGAACGAGCAGGACAAATAAGGGAGCGCGCGCACGTCCAAGCCCTTGTCCGTCTGCCCAGGGTCCCGCCACCTTCCCGACCTTTCCACGCGCCGCCGCGCCTCTCCCCTCCGGAAACCCTCCCAAGCTTCCCTGAATGCCCCCCAAAGAGACTGAGGCCGAGCCTGGTGTGCGTGGGGGGGTGGATGGGTGGGACCCAGACCTGGACCACCCCCGGCAGGAGGCGATTCTGATACAGGACGGAGATCGATGGCAACCAACGAAGCAAAGCGCTATGGGGCCAAGGTGCCAAAAAGACCCACCGGGAGGAAAAATCCTTTCTAAGGGCCGAGGGGACTGACTCAGATCAGCCGAGAGCGGCGAGGCGGGGAAGGGGCCGGGCTGGAAAGGGTGGGAGAGGGCAAGTGAGAAAGTGGAGAAGAGGTGAGAACCCGGGGCGCAGCGGAGCGGAGCGGGGAGCGACGACGGAGAGGAAAGGGGAGCAGGCCGGAGGAATGAAACATGGGGAAGGCACGAGCCGAGATGGATGAGGAGACACGGGGGCGGGGGACCGGGAGACCCCAGCCAGGGGTCCACTAGGGGTGAGGGACGGGGGGCGCTGCCCCTTTCCGGCCCCCGGGCGTCAGACAAGGCCAACGGCAAGAACAGGGGCGCGCGCCGAGAGGGCGAAAATGCAGCACCCTTGGAAGTAGCGCCCCGACCTCTTCCTCTCCTCTAGGCGGTTCTCCTAAATACCTGCCCAGTCTTTCCCATCTGTCTCCCCACCCCACCCGTGGGCAAAACCTCCAGGTCTTTATATATTTATCTATTTATTTTGGGGGGGAGCACGGGCCAGTCGGATTCGGATCCTCCTCCTCCTCCTCCTCCAGGCCGCCCCCAAAAGCCAGGCTGCACGATCGCAGGGCTGGAAGGGGGGGGGGGGGTTGCAGAGGCCCCTCCCCGCAGGAACCCCACCCCTTCCCACCTTCTCGTCCCGCTCCCTCGCTCGGGTAGGCGCGTGCGTCCGTCCGTCTCTCCAGAGTCCCCCCCCTCCCTCCTCTCCCGCTCTCCCTCCCCGCGCTCGCATCCTCCTCTCCCCACCTCTCCAACCTCCGCTTTCATCCCCCTCCCCGCGCCTTCCCCTCCCCTCCCGGCCGCCGCCGCCGCCGCCGCCGCGGCCGCCTGCCCCACCCCTGGGAAGCCCCTCCCGTCGGGCAGCGCCGCCTTTATAAGCGGGTTCCCCGGCCGGGGGCGGCAGCGGCTGGTCGGCGGCAGCTCTGCGGCTTGCGGGGGCGGCGGCGGCGGCGGCGACGAGCCCTTGCACCGAGCGATCGCGGCCCCGGAGCGCGCCGGCCCGCAGCGCCCGCAGCGCCCGCCCCGCCCGCCCGCAGCCCTGCGCGTGCCGGCCCCGGAGCCACCCCCGCCGCGCCCGCGCGCCCGGCCGCCAGGTTCCGCCGTCCCGGCCCCGGCACCATGTCGGAGAAGAGCGTGGAGGCAGCGGCCGAGCTGAGCGCCAAGGTACGGGCGGGGGCGGCGGCGCCCTGCACCCCCCACCCCCGGCCGCCCCCCGACGGCCCCGCGCCGCCCGGGCGCCGGGTCCCCGCGGACCCCACTCCGCCCTCCCCCACCCCCGCGCCGGCCTGCCGCTGCCTCCCCGGGCCCGCGCGGCGCCCCCTAGCGGCCCCGCGCGCCGCCGCCGCCGCCGCAGCCGCCGCCGCCGCTCCGGCCCCGGCCGCCGTCCGCGCCCCTCCCGGGGCCCCGGGCCCGCGCGCCCCGGCGGCTCCCGGCCCCCCGCCCCGCCCCGCCCCGCCGCGGGCGCTCCGAGTGCCGCGGGTGTAAACAGGCTCCCGCGGGAGGCGGCTGACGCTGCGCCCCTCCCCTCGGGGCCCCGCGGCCCTTCCCCGCCGACGGCTCCTGCCGGGGGGTCTCGCCCCCCACCCCCACCCCGGGTGTCACCTCTGATGATTATTCCCATGCCTCCGAGGCTGGCCTGCAGCTTGCATTGTATAGCCTTTCCCCCCTCGCTCCCACCTCCCCCCCGATGGGAGCCCCGAATCTCCCGAGGCGCGCAGGGGGGAGGCGCGGCGCGGCCCTGGCCTTGGCGCGGCGCGGAGCCGAGCCGAGCCGACCTCGGGCGCCCCGGCTCCCCGCCCGCGCGCCCCCCGGGCCTCTCCGCCGCTCGCCTCTTTTTTTCGCAGCCCTGCTTTTAATTTCCCTCGGGACCTTTGCCGAATGTCGCCGGGGGAAATTAATCCAGCCAGGGGTGGGGGGGCTGGGAATCCGACCTTGGGGAGGAAGGGATGGGGGGGCGTTGAGGAGGGGAGAGGCGGGGGCTCGGGTCCCCCAGGCTGCCCGGAGGGCCTGGGATGGGAACGGGGCGAGCCCCCGGGGTTCGGAGGAGACGGTGGGAGGAAGGGGCCGCGCGGGGGGCCGGCGCCGAGGTGTGCCCGAGGCCCGCCGGGTGGGCCGCGCGCGCGCGCGGGCGGGCGCCGCTTCCAGGAGGCGCCTTTGTATGCGGGCGCCGGCGGCCAGCGTGCGGGCCTGCCCGTGTGAGCCGCTGCATGTCTGGGGGGGCCGGAGCCATGTTGCCGCTTTGTGAGCCTGCGTGGCTGCAGGCTGGTGCGTGCCAGGATGCCCAAACACCGGGCCATGTGTCTGCGGGGCGCGTGGGCGCTTTTCTGTGGCTGGGTGTGAATCGGTATCAGCCTGTGTCAGTGTGTGCCTGTGTCGGGTGAACGAGGCCAGGGAGCTGCTGAGCCCCAGGCCGAGGTCACAGAGCCTCCTGGAAAAGGGATCATGGAAGGACAGTGACCAGGGAACCGGACAGGGGAGCAGAGGGCCTGCCAGGGCCCTTGGACTTTGGCCCCGAGGCTTCCTCCCCCCTCCCCTTCTGGCCTCCTCCCCCCTTCCCTCCGTTCATCGTCGCAGATGGGAAACCCAACAGACCTAAAAAGGGGTGGGGGGGTCCCCCAGTCCCTTACGTAAGAAAATGCCAGGTAGGGGCCGGAGTCGCAGGACAGCAGAGAGGGTGCTTGCCGGGAATGCAGACAGCCCGGGTTCGATCCCCACCCCTCGCCTGCCCCGAACCCACCAGGATCCTTGAGCACGGAGCCAGGAGTAAGCCCTGAGCACCACCAGGTGTGGCCCCCAAAGCAAAACAGAGAAGCCCATTGAGCAGGAGTGCCCTGCCCGGCCCCAGCCCAGTGGGATGGGGCGGAGAAGCCTGCCAGTGGGTGAGAGCTCATTTCCTCCCTGGGCCAGTTCCACAAGGACCCGGCCGCCCAAGGAGCTCTCTTATCCCCCCAAAAAACTTCCACCCCCCTGGAATCAGATACACCAGCTGCTCCCCGTGCCTGATCCCAGAGACACCCGCGTGTCGCTCGCTGCCTAGGTGTCCAGAGAGAAGGGGAGTCTTGGAAGAGCATCTTCCTGCAGGGGAGGAGGAGGACATCCCCGGGGGTGCTTGCTTGGGGGAGAAACGGGGTGAGTGGTGGACAGGACCTCTCAAAGGTCCCACCCCGACAGGCATTCAGGGAGTTTGTTTACTCTCTTCAGCATCTCACATCCTTTCCTCACACTCCTTGGAGGGGTGGCTGCCCTTCCCCACCTGTGCACCCTCCCCCTCCCTCCCCCCCAACACAGAGACTGAGTAGGGGTGTGGGAGGGCGAGCCAGAGATGGTACCCAGGCCTTTGCGGTTCCCGCACTTTGTTTAAGTAGAAGCCAGAGGAATGGGGATGGAGGGGGGGCTCGTAGAGGTGATTCAGGGGAAAGACCCCCAAGGTAGACAAAAGGAGTTGGGGAGCAGGGCCAGCCGGGCTGAGGCCGGGGGTCCCAGGGGCTGGGGGGAGGCCTGAGCAGATGGAGAGGATTTGCTTTGCTGAGCCCATGCTGCCGGCCGAGTGGAGCGTGCACTGTACCTTGGCCCCACGTGCCGTCCTCATCACGGCCCTCCCTGGAGTCTGGGGGAGGCGATTGTGTGTGTGTGTGTGTGTGTGTGTGTGTGTGTGTGTGTCCGTGTGTGTCTGGGGTCTGTGTCCACCTTCAAGGTGAAACAGCTGGTTCTCAGGGACTACGAGGTGACACCTGTCTCCCCCGCAGGACCTGAAGGAGAAGAAGGAGAAGGTGGAGGAGAAGGCCGGCCGGAAAGAGCGGAAGAAAGAAGTGGTGGAGGTGTGAGGGGCACCCCCACCGCGATCTTGACCCGGGGGAGGGGAGCCGGGGTCCCACCTTGGTCTTGGTCTTGACCCCCCTCCGCACCCTCCTCCCCTGTTCCGTCTTCGCAGGAGGAGGAGAACGGCGCTGAGGAGGAGGAGGAAGAAACCGCGGAGGACGGAGAGGAGGAGGATGAAGGGGAAGAAGAAGGTGGGAGGGGCAGGGGGGTCGGGCTCCAGGGAGTCCCCCGAGGCAGGGCTGAGGGAGACCCCTGTGGGTGGAGGGGCATCAGTCCTGGCATCTGCCCTACCCCAATCACCCGTTTCTGGCTCCTCAGATGAGGAAGAAGAAGAAGATGATGACGAAGGGCCCGCGCTGAAGAGAGCTGCCGAGGATGAGGTTTGAGCCGGGGTGTGGGCTCCGGAGGGCTGTCGGGGACCGTGTGGACATGAGTCCCCATCCCTGTGGTATCAGGGGACCCCCCCCACCGCCTCCCACCTGACTGCCACCCAACCCTCCACAGGATGAAGCGGATCCCAAGCGGCAGAAGACGGAGAACGGGGCGTCGGCATGAGCCCCCCTGCCAACGGGCTGGGGGTGGGAGGGCCCCTCGGGTCCTCGCGGACGGCTGGGACCGGACCAGTGCGGCTGCCCTGACCTGGCTGCCTGCTCGGCCACCCCAGAGCTGCCACCTCCCCGTGTCCCCCAGCCTCCCTCCTCATTGCCGCCCCTCCAGACACCGTCCCTCCATCCTCACTGCCATGGTTCACCTTCCAACCTGCCCCCCGCCGCCCCCGTCCCAGTCCTCCCCCCTCCCCATCCCCCCCACGCCCTGTCCCTCCTCTGATGCCTCTGGGTCCTCCCCTTTGCATCCCAGCCTCATATCCCGCCATCCCTCCCCTGCCTGATCCCCTGGGCCTCCCCCAGACCCTCTCAGACAGCGCCAGGCCGGGGTGGGGCCGAGCCCCACAGCTGCCCCCTCCTCTCCCCCTTTTTTGTATAATTTAATAAAGAAACGGTCGCGCTTCTGTTTTTAACCTGTCTCCTGCTTGCCGGGAGGGGGTGGGCCCAGTGAGTGCCGCGGAGAGGGAGGGGTTGGGGTATTTCACCGCCCCCCAAGCTTAATTAAACTCACCGTGTGTCCTCCCCCAAGAAGACCAGAGTGCCCCGTGCTGCCGGGGTGGGCACATGGCACAGTTTCTCAAGACCTGATCCGTCTCTTGGGGATACTGAGCCCCTATAATACACTCCTGTGCTAGCCCACACCCCTTCTAGACCGCTGGCGCCGACAGGCAGCCCAGTGGAAAGCTACTGGCAACTTGCACTCAAGGTCCAGAAACAGGAAGTCCCGCCCTTGGCGTGGCTGGGAGGACTCAGGGTGGGGGGACCCCCGGGCATGGACAATGCCCTCTACATAGAAGGGACACCCAAGTGGCGGCTCTCAGGTGTGCTGTGCGGGGGAAGGGGGGGGTGGAGACCATCGGGCACCTTGCCAGTTCAGCTTCGGCTCTGCGGAGTGTTGTTTTGGAGTTGAACTTGGTCCGCAGGATTTCTGAATTTCTCACTTCTGCTCCCTTTTTGATTCAGAATTACTGGGGGGGCGGTGGGTAGCTGAGCCCACAGGGGTTTGAGTGGGAGGAGGGGTGTGACTCTTCTCCCCAGGATACAACACGCAATGCGTTTCAGGGACAAGATCCCACACACCTTTCATCTTCACATGCCCTGACACACACACACACATATACACACACACACATACACACACACACACACACCCCTCTTTCATCTTCCTGAGCCCAATGTGCGCACACTGAGCTTTTGTCTTCACAAGCCCCAAGACAGACTCACACCTTTCATCTTCACATACCCACACACACCCCTTTCATCTCCGCATGCCCCATACACACCGAGCTTTTGTCGTCACACGCTCCAATACACATACACACACCCCTTTCATCTTCACATGCCTCAATACACACACACACAGAGCTTTCGTCTCCACGTGCCCTGGTACACACACACACACACACACACACAAACACACACACACACAGAGCTTTTGTCTCCACGTGCCCCGATACACACACACACACACACACACACACACAGCTTTCCTCTGCGTGCCTCAACTAAGGCACGAAGTTTGTTCATTTAAGCTTTTCTCAGTGTCATCTGTAAATGGGGGAGAATGTTAGGTTTCGGGGATTCCTGCTCTATCAATATGCTTTAGATGGTGACTTGGACATGGTTAAGAGTTAATCCAATGCATTTGTTCTCTGGGCTTGGGGTGCCCTTTCCTAGACCTGCTGTGTTTTTTTTGGGGGGGTCACACCCTGTGATGCTCAGGGTTAACTCCTGGCTCTGCACTCAGAAATGACTCCTGGCGGTGCTCCGGGGACCATATGGGATGCTGAGGATCGAACCCAGGTTGGCTGCGTGCAAGGCAAATGCCCTCTCCACTGTGCTATTGCTCTGGCCCCTCGACCTCCTGTTTTCTTCCACTCATGACCCATTTGCCCCTGAGACATTTTTATGTGACCCCCCAGGTATACAGACAGTAAGAAGATACACAAAAACAACATTTACTGATAGAATCCTACAAAAAAAAACTTGACACGGTTTTGTTTTGGGGGTTTGGGGGCCACACCCTGTGTTGCTCAGTCCTCAGTGGAACCTGCCACTGATCAAAGGGGACTGAGGTGCCAGGGATAGAATCCGGGTGGGCTGCTTGCTTGCAAAGCAAACGTCTCAACCCCTGTATTATCTCTCTGACCCTAAACGCTGAGAGTATTTTCATGACCCATACATTCAGTTACGGGATCCGTATGGGGTCACGGCCCACACTTTTAAGAGATCAGATTTTAGGGGACGGTAAGACTGCCTGTCTACGACATTTATCCTAAGAGTCACCACTTGGAGAGGCAGTGGCAAGGTGACTAAGGTCAGGGAGGCCAGGGGGATGTGGGGGATCACAGAAGGTCTGGCCAGAGGAGGCAAGAAGGCTGTTGGGGGGGCCGGGAGGGACCAGAAAGGGTTTGGAGTCTTTGTTGGTTTGGTTTTTGGTTGGGGGCCACACCCGGTGATGCTCAGGGCTTTCTCCTGCACTCGGGAATCCTTCCTGGCGACGCTCCAGGGACCTTATGGGAGGTCGGGGATGGAACCAGGTTGGCTGCGTGCAAAGCCAGCGCCCTAAGAAAGGGTTTAGATTTGGAGCGAGGGACAGGAAGTCCTGGGGACAGGGTCCTGTCAGCGGGAGGGGAGGGCACGGTGGCAGGGGACACCGGGACAGAGGAAATAAACAAGGGGAGCGCCACCACAGGGGTGGAGGGTAATGTTGCTGGGAATCAGCCCCCTCACACTTTCCACTGCGAAGCGAAACCGTGAACCCTGGGGTGTGTGTGTGCAGGGGGGCGACGTGGAGGGGAAGTGGGGAGAGGTGCAGTGAAGGCAGAAGGGCGGAGGCCAGGGCCTGGAGGAGCACGGCCACCTCCCAGCTCACTAGGCCCCCCACTCCGCTCTGCCCCCCCCAGCCCCCCTTCCCGAGGAGCCCCTCTGCCCTCCCTCCCGCCGCCCGCTTTCTCCTGGGTTCCACTCCCTGCAGACGGTCTCCCCGTCCCTCTTCCTCCTCCATCTCCCTCTACCGAGCCTCTGTCTCTCTCTGATCGTCTGTCCATCTGTCCAGCCCAACCCCTTCCGGCCTGAATCTTTCCGTTGGAGGGCCCGGGGGGCGGCCCAGGCCTGAGGGGCGATGCGGGGGCCTCCGTTCCTCGACCTGCTGCTCCTGCTGCTGCTGTGTGTGGCTCCAGGTAAGGGGACCCCCTGCGGGCTGACCTCCAGGCACTGGCCAGGGCTGGCCAGAGGTGGCTGAGGCTCTTGGGCTTCTCCAAGTGTCCGCCTGAGCAGGGAAGGGGCAGGAACCCACCGTCTCCCTCGGGAACCTGAGGCTCCTTCGTGGTCCCCACCCCCACCCCAGTCTCATGATGGCTCATGGCCCTTCTCCCTGGCCTCTCTTCTCCTGCCCAGGGGAGGCGTCAGGGGCTGAGGCCCAGGTCCAGGTGGTGTGGACCCCGGAGGGGGTCCCTGCCCAGCTCCCCTGCATCTCCGCCAGCCCCTCCCAGGACCTGCGAATCCGAGAGGTCCTTTGGCAGCACGTCCCAGACAGGTATGCACCCCGAAAGGTGGGCAACACCAGCCCCTGGATCCGGCATCAGCCACACTCCCACCTGCACCCCCAAATCCAAGATCTCCTCCTCTGAGCTGTCAGAGAAGCTGAGCTCAGCCCTGGGGCACCCCCCCAACCTGGCTTCTTCCCTACGGGGTGTGTGTGTTGGGGTGGGTACCCAGGGTCCCCCTTAGGGATGTCTGCAGTCCTGACAGCTTCCTGCTGCCATATGGTGCTGGTGTGGGGGGTGCATCTTACCCTCCGAATTGCAGTTCACTCTCTGTCTTTCTGTCTGTCTGTCTGTCTGTCTCTCCCCGGACCTCCCATGCCCAGCGCGCCTTTTGGGGCCTCCCCGCACCCTCCAGCCCCGGGCCCCGCCGAGGCTGCCCCTCGGGGCTACACCGTGCTGCGGCTGACCCCCGGGGGCGTGCGCAGCGGGAAGCAGCCCCTGCAGCCCCGCGTGCAGCTGCGCCAGCGCGACCTGCAGCGCGGCGACTTCTCGCTGTGGCTGAGCCCGGCCCGGCGCGCCGACGCCGGCGAGTACCGCGCCTCCGTGAGCCTCCGGGACCGCCGCGGGCACCGCAGCGTCGCCTGCCGCCTCCGGCTGCGCGTGGGCCAGGCCTCCCGTAGGTGGGGGCGGGCGGCGGGCAGGGGCAGGAGGGGCGGGGGCGCGAGGGCATCACCCCCGGGGCACCCCTTCCCCCCAATCCGCACCCCGGCCGGCGCGGCCGGGCTGCGCGCATCGCGCGTCGCGGGGACGCGCTGGGGAGGGGTTGGGGGGAGGCGGCATCTGGACCAGTGATTCATCCCAATCTCCCGGGCTGGGCTTCCTGGGGGTCCTCAGTTGGGGGTGCGGGGGAGAGGGAAGCGCAAACCCCACCAAGTTCACTCCAGATGAGGCTCAGGGGAGTGGGGGGGTGGGGGCGCCCTCCCCCACGCCTGCATCCCTCGTAAAGCATCCACAGGTACCACCAGGCTTTTGAACCTGGGGGGGGGGGGGGAGGAAGGTTCTGGAAGGAGAAACAGACAGCCTGGTCCCCGCTCCCAGGAGGAGCGTCCAGTTGGCTCACGGGCCGGTCGGGAGAGTGTTTCCGTTTCCGTCTCAGCTCACACCTTCCTCCTCCTCCTTGCAGTGACGGTGGCCAGCCCCTCCCCCTCGGGGGCTCTCAGGGCCTCCGACTGGGTCGTCCTGAACTGCTCCTTCAGCCGCCCCGACCTCCCCGCCTCCGTGCGCTGGTTCCGGGGCGCAGACAGAGCCCCGGTACCCGCCGCCCCGCGCCTCTACGCTGCGGGAAGCTTCCTCTTCCTGCCCCAGGTCCGCCCGGCCGACTCCGGCCTCTGGGGCTGCGTCCTGGCCTACGGGGATGGCTTCAACGTCTCCATCACCTCCATCCTCACCGTTTCGGGTAACGTCACCTCTCCACCTGCACATGTGACCACAACTCCTTCCTGCCCGCCCGCCCGCCACCTCCTCACCCGGACTGACGGATTCCCCAGTGAGGCCCTTGGCAACGGGGCCACGTCAGTGGCAGTGCTGGGGGCCTGGCTGTTGAAATACCTTTTCCCATTAAGACCAACTCCTGGCCAGCCTTGATTCTCTTCTTGGTCCCACCTGGGTGGCCAGACCTGAGTGTGAATTTCTGGGCATCCTTTTTTTTTTTTCTTGCTTTTTGGATCACACCCAGCGATGCACAGGGGTCACTCCTGGCTCATGCACTCAGAAATTACTCCTGGCGGTGCTCGGGGGACCCTATGGGATGCTGAGAATCGAACCCAGGTCGGCCACGTGCAAGGCAAACGCCTTCCCTGCTGTGCTATCTATCGCTCCAGCCCCAAATTTCTGGGCATCCTTGGCTCAGCCCTCAAGCCCTGCCCTCTCCAGAGGCTGCCCCCCAAAACCCCCCAATCCGTCACCCCTGGGCCTCCCCGCCTGCTCTGGTTTATCTTGGCTTCTCTTCCTTTCCAGGCCTGACGTCCCCAGCCCCCCTGACGGTGTATGCTGCCGCGGGTACCACAGCAGAGCTACCCTGCCACCTGCCCCCCGTGGTGGGGACCCAGTCTCCCCTCAGTGCCCAGTGGACCCTTCCTGGGGGCGGACCGGACCTTCTGGTGCCCGGAGACCAGGGAAACTTCACCCTCCGGCTGATCGCCGTGAGCCGGGCCCAGGCCGGGACCTATACGTGCCGGGTCCGTCTGCAGAAGCAGGGATTCAGTGTCACTGTCACTTTGGCCGTCATCACAGGTCAGCCCCAGGTGGGAAAGGAGTGAGTGCCCAGGACTGGGGATTGGAGGGAGGACCGGGAGGGGATGCAGGTTGGGCAGAGCCTGGGCAGGTACACCCCATGACGCCAGGGGACTCTTCTCTCACCCCCCCCATTGACAGCACTGAGATGGAAAATCACCCCTGAGTCACCAGACGAACGTTCCACTCAGAGTTAAGGGACTCCCCTTTTTCCCAAGGCCCGGGGGAGGCTTTGAGAAAGGAGCAAGAGATGGCGAAAGTGTGAATGGTTTCAGGGGAGTAGGAAGGCCCAGGGATGTGGCCCAGGGGTAAAATACACGCCTCCATGTGTCAGGTCCGGGGTTTCATTCCTAAACCACACACGTCTCCCCCGCATCACCCCAGGTCCCCTTCCTGCACCCCTGGTGTGTCCCCGTACTAGCAATAACAAAATAGATTAAAAAGGGGGGGGGGCTGGAACCATAGCACAGCGGATGGGGCGTTTGCCTTGCACACGGTGGACCCAGGTTTGATTCCCAGCATCCCGTATGGTCCCCCGAGCACCGCCAGGCGTAATTATGAGCCAGGAGTAAACTCTGTACAATCCCGGGTTGACCCAAAAAGCAATAATAATAATAATAATAATTAATAAAGGGGGGCGGAGCTGTACCCCTGGTGGTTAAGCACTTGCCTTGCAGGCGACTATCTCTGGTTCAGTTCCCTGTATGGTCCCCTGAGCACCTCCAGGGGTCACTCCTGAGCACAGGGCCAGGCCATCCTGAGCACTACCTCCCTTCCCCCTCCGAAAAGAAGTTGGGGGGGACTGGAGCAGTAGTACAGTGGGTAGGGCGTTTGCCTTACATGTAGCCGGCCTGGGTTCGATCCCAAGCTCTCCTTATCGTCCCCTGAGCACCGCCAGGAGTGATTCCTGAGTGCAGAGCCAGGAGAATTGCCGGGTATGACCCAAAAAGCCAAAGAAAGAAAGAAAAGAAAAGAAAAGAAAAGAAAAGAAAAGAAAAGAAAAGAAAAAAGGGGTCTATTTCTAGTCCCAGTGTCCACTTTGGGGCCAGGGCTTGGGTTAAAGTTGCAGGAAGTGACCTGGATTTGGGAATCTGTCCCCGGGTCAGCAAATATTTACTGAGCAAAGACTTTCTCAGACAGTAGAAAACAAACCCAAACCTACCTGGCTCCAGGGGCCCGTATGCGTTTACTGGTTGCTCTGGGCCACAGCAGGTGACCCAGTGTTCACCTGTCCCTCAGCTGTTATACCATATAGTAACGCTGAGTGGGCAAGTGAATAAATGAGTTTCCTAATAAATATGTCTCCCAGGCCAGGGAGACTTCTGGAAGCTTCTCTGGGTTGAAACTCAGGTTGGGTTCCGTCCCGGGTTCCATAGCACTGCCATGTGTGGTCCCCCGCCCCCAATAACGGCCTCCTAAGGGCTGGTGCTGAATGTTCATTATTCAGGGAATGGAACCTTCTGGAACGCTTCCCCGAAGCCCTGAAGCCCCACTTTTCCTCACACCCAGTGCTTGCTGCTGACTTAGCCCTGACTCAGCCTTTCTGCCTGTCTCCCCCATCCAGTCAGCACCTCAGTTCCTCCTTATTTAATATTCAGGGTCACACCCTGTGATGCTCAGGGATTTCTCCTGGCTCTGTGCTCAAGGATCACTGCTAGAGGTGTTCGAGGGCCCATAGGTGGTGCTGGGGATCGAACCTGGATCAGCCATGTGCAAGGCAAGTGCCCTGCCTCCTGTCCCGTGACTCCAGCCCAGTTCTTCCTGTCTCAGTTCTTCCTCAGGGCCATTGGCTCGCGTCCATTTTCTTTTTTCTTTTTTTGTTTTTGGGTCACACCCAATTATGCACAGGGGTTGCTCCTGGCTCTGTACTCAGGAATTACTCCTGGCAGTGCTCGGGGACCCTATGGGATGTTGGGAATCGAACCCGGGTCGGCCGCGTGCAAGGCAAACACCCTACCCACTGTGCTATCGCTCCAGCCCCAAACTCACGTCCATTTTCATGCTGCTTTCATGGTGACCCAACGGGAAGACGCTGTTCCCCTGTGTGAGAGAGGAGCTTCCCCAAAGCACACAGCTGTTCTGCGCTCGGGGTTACTTGGGGGTCTTTGTCACCCTGTCTGTGGGTGGGTTCCCGTCTGCCAGGCTGAGCTCAGGGCCTTCACCCTGGCTTCCTGCTTCCAGCCTTGAGTTGCGCTTTCTAGAGGCAGTGATCAGTTCCTGCTCTGGAAATGGGACTAACCAAAGGGGGACAGTATTTTCCAGAAGCACGACAAGGCTCTGAGCTACGTTGTGAAGACTAGCCAAGAGGGGCTGTGACGACGTGAAGGAATTGTAAGAAAGGGGGCTGGAGCGATAGCACAGCAGGGAGGGCGTTTGCCTTGCAGGTGTCCGACCAGGGTTCGATCCCCGGCATCCCATATGGTCCCCCAAGCACCGCCAGGAGTAATTCCTGAGTGCAGAGCCAGGAGTAACCCCTGTGCATCACTGGGTGTGACCCAAAAAGAAAAAGAGAAAAAAAAAAACGGATTGTAAGGGAGTGTGCTGGCAGATTTGCCATCCTATTGGATCATTTGAGTTGGAACAGGAACCCCCCCAAGGCAGTGGGGACCGGTGGGAGTGTTTGGGTGGTCCTGTGGGCCAACCGGAAATCTTTTCTTGTGTAGATTGATCTGGCTGTGACCCCAAGAGCTTCTCCTTGCCCTTGGCCTGTCAGTGCCCAGGGGAGTCATCCAGACTTGGGAGTCATTTTTTTTTTCTTTTTGGGTCACACATAGCGATGCTCAGGGGTTACTCCTGGCTCAGCACTCAGGAATTACTCCTGGCATTGCTTGAGGGATCATATAAGATGCCAGGGATTGAACCTGGGTTGGCCACGTGCAAAGAAAATGCCCTCCCCACTGTACCATCACTCCAACCCCCAGGAGTACCTTGAACCCCTAGTTTCCACTAAAGAAGATCTTTCTCCTCTGCTTTTTCAGTGACTCCCAAGTCCTCTGGGTCACCCGGCAGCGTGAGCCAACCCTTCTGTGAGGTCACGCCGGCGTCTGGACAGGAGCGTTTTCTGTGGATTCCCCTGGGCAGACAGTCTGAGGACAGCACCCTGGGACCCTGGCTGCTCCTGCAGGACCCCAGACTGCTTTCCCAGCCCTGGCAGTGCCAGCTGTACCAAGGGGACAGGCTTCTCGGGACGGCGCTCTACTTCCCGGAACACTCTCGCCCAGGTCTGACGTCCAGCAGGTCTCCCCGGCCAGCTCCAGGCCACTTGCCTTCATCTCATTTCCAGATTCCCCCTCCCCCCCGACCCCAAATTCTTTTTTCTCCCCATCTTGCACGCTGCAGTTACCACAGCATATTTGATGGGGTTCAGACAATAGGCAACAAATCATAGATATATATATATATATATATATATATATATATATATAAATATATGACTCTCGGACAGCCCGGCAAGCTATCCTGCCCACACGGGCAGAGCCTGGCAAGCTCCCCCTGGCATATTCGACATGCCAAAAACAGTAACGACAACAGGTCCCATTCCCCTGACCCTGAACGAGCCTCCAATCGTTGGGAAAAGACGAGTAAGAAGAGAAGTAAAATCTCAGGGCTGGGAGGAATAGAGACGTTACTGGCGCCTGCTCGAGTGAATCAAAGAACAATGGGATGACAGGGATACATACAGTGATTGCACCCTGACCCCCGGGCTCTTGTCTACGCCAGACCCTCCAGACCCTCCGCTGCCTTAATGAGCCGAATGATCTCTGCTAATCCCCTTCAGCGCCCTGGGCCTCATCTCTCTGTCATCTGTGAGGATGAGGTGAGATGTCTCATCTCCTCTGGATAGTGACCCTCGGCCTCCACCTGTCCCTTCTCTGCAGGTGCCTGGTCCTCTGGGGGAGCCCCTGGCGCCTCAAAAGCTGCCCATCTTCCTCTCTTCCTCACTCTGGGGAGTATTTTTCTGCTTCTTTTGGGAACCGGAGTCTATGGCTTTCATCTCTGGAGAAGACAGGTGAGCCAGAAGTATCCCCTCTCCTAAAATATTGGCTGCCACCCCCTTTTTAGTCAGATCACCCTTTTTTTCATCCACATCACCCCTTTTCCATCAGATCACCCTTTTTCAGTCAGATCACTCTTGTTTTTTTTTTTCTTTTTGGGTCACACCCAGCGATGCTCAGGGGTTACCCCTGGTTCATGCACTCAGGAATTACTCCTGGCGGTGCTCAGGAGACCCTATGGGATGCTGGGAATTGAACCCGGGTCGGCTACGTGCAAGGCAAATGCCCTACTCACTGTGCTATGGCTCCAGCCCCTCAGTCAGATCACTTTTTTCAGTCAGACCACCGAGGTGCCCCCTGAACTTCCCCTCAGACCCCTTCCTGCTTAATCCCTGCACTCTGGACCCCCTGGAATCTAGAAGGGCTGCGATTAGGCCAAAGAAGAGTTGGGGAGAACAGGGGTCTGTGAAGGAACAGACGGGCCTCAGTGCAGTGGTCTCCTCTGGTCCCTTCCCTTTCCCACGTCTCACCCCTTCCACTGCCCTTCCAGACCATCTCACAGTGGAGACCTAGAAGATTCTCTGCCTTGGAGCAGGGGGTTCACCCACCCGAGGCTCAGAGCAAGAGGGAGGACCTGGAGCCGGAAGACCCAGAGCTGGAGCCAGAGCTGGAGCAGGAGCTGGAGCCGGGGCTGGAAACTGCACCAGAGCTGGAGCTGGCGATGGAGCCGGGCCCGGAACTGAAATAGTCCTGAGCAGGAGCAGAGGCGCCAGCCGGCTCCACACCCCTGTCCAAGTCCAAATAAACGCCCCGTCAGCAGCAAGCCAAGCCTGACTCCTTGCCCAGAGAAGCTCCGGGTCGCTCCCCGCTTCAGGGGTTCCCGTCTCCCACCCCAGTCTCTTGACCCACTTTCCTCGGCCTCTCTCCTCCCCCTTCTGTCCCTGGTCCCCTGGGGCTTCTTCCTTGGTCTCTCTCCTGCATTCTCTCGCCTGGGGGGTTGCTTTTTGTGAGGGTCCAAAAGGCCTGCACCCTGCCCTCCCGCTCTCTCGCATGGGCTCTGAGGGCTGCCCTGGTTTCCTTTCGGTTTTTGTTCCTCTGCCTCCCCGTCCCCTCATCCCGTCCCATCACCCAACTTCAGCACAGGCTGTGGCCCTCTGGCTCCATTTTTCCGTTGTCCTTGACCCTGGCCTTCTGGGTCACACACACACATTCTCTCTCTGCTGAGGCACCTTCCTGACTGGATCCCACTGCCTGCACAGGGGCCTCAGGCCTACACACACACACACACACACACACACACACTCTCACACACACACACACCACAAAAACACACACATACACTCCTTCCGCTGAGTTGCCTTCCTACACACACACACACACAACACAAACACACACACACCCCTTCTGCTGAGTTGCCTTTCTACACACACACACACACACACACACACAACCTTCTGTTGAATTGTCTTCCTACACACAAACACACACATCCTTTTGCTGCGGTGCCCTCCTACACACACACACACACACACACACACACACACACACACACACAAAAACACACACATACACTCCTTCCGCTGAGTTGCCTTTCTACACACACACACACACACAACCTTCTGTTGAATTGTCTTCCTACACACAAACACACACATCCTTTTGCTGCGGTGCCCTCCTACACACACACACACACACACACACACAACACACACTGGCTCCCTCAGTTCCACGGAGGTCCAGAACGCCTGGTCTCAGGCTCCTGGCGACCTGTTAGATCTCGGCACGACAACACAGTGCCACCCAGTGGTCACTGCGTATCATGCACCGAGGCCCTGGAGTAGGGGCTGGCGGGGCATGGGGGATGGGGGAGCCCTCCAGATACCCGGCGCAGGCGACAAGGCCGGCTGAGGCGCCCGTGGAGGCAGGCAGTGCTGGGCGGGCTCGCTCCCCCGGGCCCTGCCCCGTGTGCGTTGAGCGACAGAGCGGCTGTCACATGTCTTGGGAGCCCTCCAGGAACCGGGCCGGAACAATCCATGCCTTGAGACACATGCCCGGGCCCTGGCCAAGTTGGGGTTCTAGTCTGACAAAGGGGAGCGCTGAGAACAAGGGCCCCACGTGGGGAGCACGCCGGCGGGCCAGCTGGCTGAGGTTGTGGCTTTGCCGGTCAGGAGTCCCAGTTTCTGAGCCGGCTCTGCTGATGTGCCCGGGACTGATAATGCCCAACCCCAGACCCCCTCAAAAGACAGCTGGTGGGCTGGAGCCATAGGACAGCTGGAAGGGCAAGTTTGCCTTGCATGCAGCCCACCCGAATTCAATCCACGGCATCCCATAGGGTCCCCTGAGCATTGCCAGCAGTACTTCCTGAGTGCAGAGCCAGGAGGAACCCCTGAGCATCGCTGGGTGTGGCCCAAAAAGAAAGAAAAAAAAAAGCAGGGTTTGAACACTGGCAGGGCTGGGCATGGGCATATTGGTCTGATCAGGGCGGCCCACAGTGGTCCAGCCAAGCATGCTGGAGGGGCCCCACCAGGGTCTGCTTCCTGCTCTCCGCAAGGACATTCCCGTGGGTGGGCCGGGCGTGACCCGCACACAGCACAGCCCTCCTGCAGCCTGGTACCCTGGTACGGGACCCGCCCTGCCAGGGGCATGGCTGGTGTTTGGCGGCAGTTTTGCCAAGGGAACTTTTACCCAGGACAGGAGAGGGAGTGCTCTGGGGAGAGGGGGAGAGCGAGGCCGCAGGGATGTGGGGTGCCGAGCTAGACCTGGAAACTGCATGCGCCCTGAGAGCAAGGCAAATCAGGAGGCTCGGACTCCTCTCCCGGGAGACTCTGGGAGGGAAACGGAGGCAGGGAGCTTGGCCCTGGTCAGCGCTGTGAGCGGGTCCTTTGGAACCACACGAGGCTGTGGAGTGCTCAGACAGTGAAACTGAGGCTCTGAGAGGAGTTTGGGGGCTCCCCAGAGACCGGCACACTCTGAGGGAAAGTCCCCAAGGCCCTTTGAGTCTCTGAACTTCACTCCCACCCTTTGCCAAGGTCTGGGATTCACTCAGCAGGGCCCCGGCTTTCCGTGCTGTAGCAGTGGTGGTGGGGGGGAGGGGGGGTCAGTGTTTGAACAGGGCAGGGGTTTTCTGGAAACTTCCGTGGGTGGCACTTTTCCTTTCTGTGAAGAAACATCCTATGCCCTTTGGGCTCGTGAGTGTCATCTGAGTGTCATGGTAGAGGATTCTTTGGCTGTGTCCTGGCAGGGAATTCCCCCAGGGCCCTTCAGAATGAGACAGAGAGGGGACCCAGAGACAGAAGAAAGGGCCACCCTGTTCCTTCAGCCACCAAGAGAAGAGCAAAGGGCAAAAGGGAGGGAGGTGCTGAGGGGGAGCACAGAGCCTCTCTTAGGTCTCTCGCCACTTTCTCTCAGGGGTGACATGCTCCTGTCTGTTACCCTCTTCCCATCCAGTAGGACGACCTCTAGCCTTTGGGGGGGGGGCGCTCTTTTTTTTTTTCCTTTCTGGGTCACGCCAGCAATGCTCAGGGATTCCTCTTGGCTCATGCACTCAGGAATTACTCCTTGTGGTTCTCGAGGGATCCTATGGGATGCTGGGAACCGAACCTGGGTCGGCCACATGCAAGGCAAACACCCTCCCGGCTGTGCTATCGCTCCATCCAGAGGGTGGCCTTTTTTTTTTTTTTTTTTTTTTGCATTTTGGGTCACACCTGGCGATGCACAGGGGTTACTCCTGGCTCTACACTCAGGAATTACCCCTTGCGGTGCTCAGGGGACCTTATGGGATGCTGGGAATCGAAGCCGGGTTGGCCGCATGCAAGGCAAATGCCCTATCCGCTATCAATTTTTTTTTTTTTTTCTGGGGCGGCCTTTTAAGGCCTTCCCAGGAAGCTGTTGTGTTCATTCCTCATCTCCGAGTTTATCTGCTGACCCAAAGCCCAGACTAGGGTTAGGAGGTACCATGAAGTGGAGGAGAGTCCAATGACTGGGAGGCGCCTTCAGGGATACCTGGGGGGATGGGAAAGCTTCTTGAAAAATGGGGTTTGGGGGGCCAGATCAATAGTACAGCAGGTAGGCCGTTTGCCTTGCACGTGGCCTATCCAGGTTCAATCCCCAGCTTCCCATGTAGGCCCCTGAGCACCGCCAGGAGTAATTCCTGAGCATCAGCGGGTGTGACTCCCCTCCCTCCCCCAAAAAAAGGAAAAAAAGAAATGGGGTCTTTAGGGGCTGGAGAAAGTACAGTGTCTAGGGCACTTGCCTTGCATGTGGCCAACCTGGGCCTAATCCCAGTGTCCTATGTGGTCTTCTGAGAACAGAGCCAGAAGTAAGTCCTGAGCACTGCCACATGTAGCTCCCAAACCGAAAACTAAATATAAGAAAAAAAGAAGAAAAAAAGAAACGGGACTTGGGGCTGGAGAGATAGTACAGCAGGTAGGGCGATTGCCTTCCACTCGGCCTACTGGGGTTTGATCCCTGGCACCCTATATGGCCCCTGAGGATGGCCAGGAGTGATCCCTGAGGCTAGAACCAGGAGCAAGAGCACAGTACAGTGTGCCCCCCAAAAAAATGAAAGGAAAAGGGGCCAGAGTGATAGCACTGCGGGTAGGGCGTTTGCCTTGCACGCAGCTGACCCGGGTTCGATCTCTGGCATCCCATAGGGTCCCCCAAGCACTGCCAGGAGTAATTCCTGAGTGCAGAGCCAGTAGCAACCCTGTGCATTGCTGGGTGTAACCCAAAAAGAAAAAGAAAGAAAGAAAGAAAGAAAGAAAGAAAGAAAGGAAGGAAGGAAGGAAGGAAGGAAGGAAGGAAAATAAATAGGGGTGCTAGAGAGATAGTACAGTGGATAAGCCTTGCATGCTCCTGACCTCGGTTTGATCCCCCGTACTCCACAGGGTCCCCAGCATGCCACATGCCGGGAGTGATCCCAGAGTGCAGAGCCAGGAATAGGCTGAGTCCTTTTGTCACCTAAGGAATGACCGCCCAGCTTGATGCTTTGAAAGTTCACAGCTGGGTGCAGCAGCTTGGCTAAACTGTTCCCAGGCAGGGGCTGCTACAAGGCGTGGCCCAGGGGTGGTGACCTGTGTAGGTTGCCTGCCTGGAGGTTCTGCCCCTGGAAACTTCCCTGAGTTGGCTGCTGGGCAGAGAGGCTCAACCTGCCCCATCGCCAAGGGCTCCTTCACGGTCTATATCCTAGCAACTGCCTTCTGTGATGAAAGCTACCACACTTCCCTTCCTTCCTTCCTTCCTTCCTTCCTTCCTTCCTTCCTTCCTTCCTCCCTCCCCTCCCTCTCTCTCTTATTCTTCCCCCCCCCCCCCCCCGCTTTTTTTGGCCACATCCAGCAATGCTCAAAGGTTACTCCTGGCTCTGCACTCAGAAAACACTTCTGGTGTTACTCGGGTGACTATATGGGATGCCAGGGATTGAACCCAGGTTGGCGGCATGCAAGGCAAGTACCCTACCTGCTGTGCTATTCCTCCGACTCTATCTTTCCTTCCTTCCTTCCTTCCTTCCTTCCTTCCTTCCATTTTCCCTTCCTCTCCTCTCCCCTCCCCTCCCTTCTCAGATTTTGCTCCAGCGGGCCCAGTAACGTCTCCATTTTGAGACTTGTTGTTACTGTATTTGGCATATTGAATATGTCACAGGTAGCTTTATTTTATTTATTTATTTATTTATTGCTTTATGGGTTACACCTGGCTATGCACAGGGGTTACTCCTGGCTCTGCGCTCTGGAATTACCCCTCTCGGTGCTCAGGGGACCCTTTGGGATGCTGGGAATCGAACCCAGTTCAGCCATGTGCAAGGCAAACGCCCTCCCCGCT